GAAATCTCTCCGTAGCGTGGCGCTACGGACGGCGGGTAAGTAGTTCGGCTGCCCGATGACGTTTTACGTATTATAGGAGTTATTTTTACCGTTGTTTACGGATAATGCCACAATTTTTATAGGAATCATAACTATAGGAAACGCTTTTATAGGGGGATCTACTGTATATTAGTTGAATAAAAATGCACTTTAAAATGGTGTTTTGTCACTTTTTATTAATTAGAGACCCAAATAAAACAAACATTTGTGTTTTTCAAATAAATTTTTGTTTGTCCCTTTTATAATAAATGATTTTATCTAAATCTAAGTAAAAATTAAGTGTCTGTAGAAGTAATTTTTTAAAATATCCTTTTTTGTGATAAAGTTTTAATACTTATTATTATAATCTAGACATGTTAAACCCCAAATAAAACAAATATTTGTTTTTCAAATAAATTTTTGTTTGACTTCTTTATAATAAAGAAAATTATCTATTTCTAAGTAGAAATTAAGTGTCTGTAGAAGTAATTTTTTAAAATATCCTTTTTCGTGATAAAGTTTTAATACTTATTACTTTAATCTAGACATATAAATGCTTAAATATACTTGTATATTAAAAATTGGGTCACAATATACTTGTGGCCCAGAACTCCATGACTTCTTCCAATGTGGCCCAGAGAAACAAAAAGATTGGACACCCCTGCTTTAGGGTAATATGAAATAATAGTAATATTATTTTGCTACAACAAACCATAGATGTAATTAATTATGCTTATCTACACATGAGATGTGTAGATAAGCATAATGTTTTCTACACATGAATGTTTTCTGCACATGAAATGTGTAGAAAACATTCATGTGTAAGAACACATGAAATGTTTTATTAGATAATTGAGATAAATATTGTAGAGTAAAACTAAAGTCTTCATATAAAACAAACTGAATTTTTTTACATGCCACAAACGCATGTTAAAAAATTAAGATTGCTTTATATGAAGTTGATTAGTAAGCAGATGATAGGTTAAAGGGTAGATGAAAGTGAGAAGTAAATTTATTAAAAAGAAAATATTGAAAAATAATAGAAACGAACCCCTTTATTGAACAAAAAATTTAACAATAAATTTCGCTGTTTTAACTCACCTAAATTTTAATTTTTTCTGAATCATATTCAACAGGGGAAAAGGGTTTAAAATTTGTCCCACTGGAGTAGNTTTATTAAAAAGAAAATATTGAAAAATAATAGAAACGAACCCCTTTATTGAACAAAAAATTTAACAATAAATTTCGCTGTTTTAACTCACCTAAATTTTAATTTTTTCTGAATCATATTCAACAGGGGAAAAGGGTTTAAAATTTGTCCCACTGGAGTAGCATTGTGCCAAGAAGGCTATAAAAAATATTTAAATTTATAAAACACAGACTATTATTAGCAATAATATTAGGGGAGACCGGGGCAACTTCGGCATGCGGGGCAAGTTTGTCAAGCGCTTTTTTTAAAAACAAATTAAAAGGAGACTTTAGTTATAGGTTAGGCAGTTGAGTTTTATTGGTGGCTTGTTGAGTGTAGTGTTTTTATTGTTCTCCAACAAGCGTAGTTGAATTATCAAGCAAATTTTCATTTTCGTTGAATTCCATATAATATTTTTTTTCCATTTATATTGAATTGGCAGGTTTTGTTATAATTCCATGATAACGAAAGTTACTTTTCCTGTTAGANGAAAATTAAATACTTATAGACTTTTCACAGGATAATATTTTCGATTGCACACAAGCATATGCTATCTGTTACCTGTCTCAGTGCTAATGTACTGAGTAAATGCTATTTCTCATTGTATCGTTGTCACAGTAATTACATGAATGTAATATATATCTATATTTGATATTATTTTTTTTTTTTGGTAAGAATTATATTCAGTTTGTTATTTTGTTGAATTTTACGCTAATAGGGGACGTTACGTGTAAATCAGCAAATCAAATGAAGTAGAAATTAATTGATTTACAGAAATCCAATGGATATTTTGAAATATAATGAACGACATTATCTAAATTAAAAGTATTTGAACAAAAGTGTCGACATTCGTAGCAATTGGTCGAACGGTCTAGTAGTGTAATGCAAACAAACATCCAAACAAACATTCTCATTTATAAGGACGCATTTATGTTATCGTAAATTTAATACGTAAAGTATAATTTATAAGTCATAAAATTTTTAACAAAAACATTAAAAAGTGAATCTGGAAAGAATCCAGGCAGGTCGATAACCTCGGATATTTCGTGTCCCGTCATCATTCAGTTTTTCTATTGTTTGCCTGGCTGAACTCATGTTAAGATTTAAAGAGTTTGTCAACATATAAAAAGGAAAAATATTGTAATGCTGGCAGAAACTATAAATATACCGAAGTAAACGTTAATCAAATTATTAATACATTTATTATCGAAAAGTTATAATTAGTTTTAGTAAAATATGTTTATTTATAATGAATTTCGAAATAATTACTTGCTATAAACAAGTAATTGTTTGAATGTAATCTTTTAACAAAAATATACATACAGTAGATACAGATATATCCTTATGCAGACCTTCCTTTCCAGATGCACATCTTTTGCTTCAAATCTGCGTTTTCTATCACATTTCCTCACATTTTCATTGCATCGACTCCTTAGTTCTTTTTAGATACTCATCCACTTGTTCCAATTCCAGACTTTCTTGACCGTCACCTACCGCGCATTTTATTCACCTTTTCTCCCTTCGAAAATGAATCTCAATGTAGTTGAACCACGATAAAATCTTCTTACTCAACTTTCAAATCTTATTTCTAGAAACCACACATCTTTCTGGTATCGCGATAGAATTGTAGCGAAGTAGTGCAATTTTGTAATTAAAAACTTTTAATTACAAATAATATATATGAATTATCTTTCACTCTATTTACCTCGAGCGCTGAAATATGTTTAAATGTGTATGTAAAAAATTGATAATTGGAACAGTTGTGTTGTAAGAATTTAAGACAGAAAGAGTATGTGTTCTCTGACCAGAAGAAAACAGTTACTGGCCATACTAGAGGGCAATCCTTGCAGCTTCTAGGCACGAAAAACTATCGTTATAAATATAACTTACGAACAGGAGATTCCTACGTTCGCTCGACGTCGATTGCATTGTTTTTGTGTTTTGTTAAGTTATAGATCTCAATTTCCTTACGGCGCACGCAGTGCATTATTTTGTCCCTAAATCCTTCAACGTGCGCTTAATAGCCACAGGGAGCATGGACGTTAGTACTTGCGCCCGACAGTGTTTCGAAAATGAAGTCACGTACACTCACTTTTTATTAAATTTGTGGATTCCTCAATGAAATTAGTGAAAAATGACAAACTTTAATCGAAGCTGATCGATAAATTTTATGAACGAACAAAATTTTATAAGTCAGACAAAACAAGATTCAGTAACGTCACGCTCAAATATTTCGATTGTACTTCTCTCAAACAATCTGATTAAGGCATTTTTTGTTAAAACATCAAACAATTGATCATAAACAATTGCATTTCATTAATTATATTTGAACAATATTTTAACCAAAATTGTTGAATTGTTGAAAGCTGGAATAAAATAAAAATGGTAAGTGTTAAAATCTTGTACTTATATTTTTGAAACTAATTCAAAAAATAAATCTAAAGATTATTATATCGAGTAGATTATATATAATAATGTGTACCGTTAAACGTTAGTAATATCGACGTATTTTTTAAAAGGCGTCTACTTCAAATGACAACAAAGACGTCATCGAATGCAAGATCTGTAAAAATCAGTATTCTACACAACAACTATTCGATGATCATCTGAAAAATAATCCTGCTTGCAGCAAATTAACCTGTGATGTTTGTCTAAAACAATGCATTCATATTAAGAGTTTGAACACTCACAAAAGGACTCATTTAAAAGAAAAGCCGTTTAAATGCGATGAATGTGAATATTCTACAATAAGGAAGTCAAACCTAAACAGACACCAATTAACACATTCAAAAAAACAATTGTATAATTGCAAGTATTGCGGTTTACCTATTTCAAGAAAAGATCATTTAAACACACATCTTTTTGTGAAACATTACGAAGAGTTGTCTTCACCTGACGAAGTATGTATGTTGATGCATTTTTGCTAACCTTTAACGTAATAAATCACAAAGAAACACTTACATGAAATATACTAGAATCTGTAATGTCATTTTAAAACAGTCCATTTCCGCAAGTGATTCAGTTACTCGTATTTATCACAGATTTTTACTCTGTTTTGTTTCTTTATTCATAATCATTCTGATTCTAGTTTATGCAGTGTGTGTTTTCCTGGTAAACTAATAAACTGCATATTTGAAGCAAAGAAATTAATATACGACTTCTCTTAAAATGAATTAAATGCCACATGTAATGTCCCTAGAAGAACGCAACGATTCTTTCGTCAGCACATTTGTAAATGTTTTATTGTTTGAACAGTTATCATTTTGCCAATATTTTTTAATATTAAATCATTTTAATCATAAAATACACAACAGCTTTTGCAAAACACTGAGATTCCATATATTATACATTATATATTTATTATACTATTTTATAAACAAATATTTTATTTTACATCAGCAGGTTTAATTTATTATAAGTAATATATGAATAGTTTCCTTACGTAGTTTCAAAAACATATATCAGAATGATAAATATATTTTTAACTTTCACTTGAAAATTTCATATTTATTTTGTATAATTATTAAAACTTTAAAACAATTTTATGGATTAGCTTCCACCGAGATAAAAGAATTTGGAAAAGTATAAATGTCAGTCTTGCACAAAAAGATGTCAATCAGAATACGATTTAAAAATTCACATGAGAAAACACACAGGAGAACGTCCATTTAAGTGTGAGGTTTGCTCGAGAGGATTTACAAATAAATCAAATATAAAAGCTCACAAGCTGAGAAAACATTCAACAGAAAATTATACATCTCAGGTAAAAACAACTTATTCTTTATAAAGTATTTACATCTCGAATATTGTGTTATAAAATTTATATCTTTATCTGTTATACTTATATCAAAAAATGCATAAACGTGCAATTAACGAGTTAAACGATTATGCTTTATTATGCTCATAAATCAAAGTATTATAAATTCGGTCTAAATACAGTCTATTTAAACTCATAAAAATCAGTGCAGCGCGTCACTGGTAAACGTATAGTCTTTTGTGCTATTTTGCATAACTGCGATACTGTAACCACCGGCCTTTTTTTCCTAATCACCATTATAAAACAATGCATATAATGATCTACTGGGTTTGATTAGCACCTTAGAATTCCGATCTGTATTTTCACTTCAATTTAAAAATTAAGAGAAAAACACTGAATACAATTGTCCAGTTAATCGTGTTTATCAATTGTGTAGATATTTCGAAGAGAAGACACGTCACAGAGTATTCAAACCTCTGAACAGAATATTTCACAATCTCATATGCACCTTCCTGATGAAATTTCGTCAACAGAAGTAACGCATGAGGAACATATTAAAGACAATGATAGAGAAAACGCTTCTCATTCTTCTGAAACATTATACCAATGTGATCAGTGTTCCTTCAGTACAAACTGGAAGAAAAAGTGGTTACAACATAAGCACAGTCAAACTGATGACGCTTCATCCACTTCAATGGTAATTTATGAAATATTAGAACTATTACTGAATAAAAAATAGTAATCGATTTATTATAAACAATGTAATCATTAAGTAATAAAATAATAATTACACGATTTTATATTGAGTAATGAGCAGGAGAAAAAATTTCCACGTTGTCGAATTTTTAGAAATATCAGAATATCATGCTGTGTACCTGTTGTGTACAGTGAGAAGTATTTTTGTTTCCGCCTAACTTTCGAATTATAGTATATAATAAAAAATAAGTTAGATTACAAGAAAATATGCCGAAACAGAAATATTTAGTGATGTATCCTTTCTCTTTCTTATAAACGAACTCTCGCAATTCAGATTTACATTTCGTAAATAATTCGATAACTTGAAAATACTCCAATACTTCATGATTTTCTCACCGAAAAATTTAGGTCTTTCGGTTCTAATGGCAGACAATAAAATCAGTAACTTATTAAGTACTTAAGATATAAAAAGTATGATGTCAAATCTGTTAAAGACGATTATATATATTTTTGACAGGAAATTGAAGATACAGAAGATCCAGAAATATTGACAGCAGTTGGACTGATTAGCAGAAGCAGATTGAAGCTGATGGAGAAGAAAAAGGAATTCTTTAATTTGGATAAGCTTTCCACTTCAAAATAAACTTTAGAAGAATTTAAATAAAAATTTATTTATTTTTGCAAAATTTACATAATCTATTTTCAAAATTAAGTCGAATTGTGAAATTTTCGAAAAAATACATGAAACTTCGTAAAAATAAAAAAATGTATTAAAATTTAAATCTTGCTTTAATTTTTTATAAGTGCTTAATATACAATAAATGAGTAATTGAAGAATTATGAATGTAGATGAAACAGTCTTTTTCGGTTTCTCAGTCAGATAAAGTGTCTCTGCACATATCATTAGGGTTTCTCATTTCCCGGTCTTTTATTTGTCTAGGGATTCCGGGTTAAAAGTGAACTGTTTGCCGGGAAATCCCGGGATAGAATTAATTATTTTTAAGGTATACAAAATATCTTTAAATTAAATAATATAACTATTTTTCATTTTTTAAAGTAATTTTAAAATTCTGTATCATCCAAAATCATATTAATAATGCTGTGTAAGATATATAATAAAAATTACCTTTGAATTACGTAGAAATTTATACAAATAGAAAAAAAAAAATTTATTAAAGTTTGCTGGAAACTGCATACAACAACAACAACAACAGAAATGCTTTGAATTGAGTTAAAAATTAAAAATTGAACTTAGGTCAGACTTATAACTTAGAAGGTAATTTTCGTTTTTTAAATAAAATATAATACAAAATATTGTAAAAAGATTTTAAAAAGCAAAAATGATCAATACTCCGATCACTTACTCTAATTCCTATTTTAGTAATGAAAAGTCTTGCTACAGAGAATGCCCTTTTCGATTCAATTGATGTGATTGGAATCGTGTTTAATTCATTTAAGAGAAGACAGATATTATGTGTGTTTTCACCTGTATCCTGGAAGATTTCGAGTTTGTTTTCGAGATTGTAGTACAGTAGAGCCTCGATTATCCGACTCAATTGGAAACTGGGGTTGGTCGGATAATTAAAAAGTCGGATAACCGAAAAGTGTGAAAAAATCCATTATTAGTGTAGTATATTATTATATCCCATGTAATTAGTATATTAATATATTGCTATTAACCTACTTCGCGTTAAATTTTTATCGATGTTAAGCCTAACATAAATTTTTTTAAAAATAATAATCGTCGCTATTGTTTCGTTAAAAATTAGAAAATTAAGCCTTTTTTAAATACTGGCTCTTTTTTATGGTTGATCCAGTGTTGGCAGCTAAAACACGTAAAAATAATATTAAAGTAGCCAAGACATAGCCAAATATTGTAGCGCCACATCACTAGCGGTCATTGGAATTTGCCGATTAGAACGCGGTCGGTTAACCGAGATGACAGTTAATCGGGGGTCGGATAATCGATGCTCTACTGTACTTCTTTTGCTCTCTAGAATTTTTGATCTGTCTACCGCGACTGCTTTAACAGCGGCATCAAGCTTATAGTTCAATAATTCGGCAATTCGTTTGGCTTTAGTAATCAGGTTTATGAAGAAAAACTTCATACTTACAGACTTTATACTCGTTTGTATCTTTGCCCAATTTGCACAATCTGGCGTTACGCATTTATTGAAGCTACTGGGCATGGTAAAAATTAAGACAGCGTATTCACAATTATTCCATATATTACAGGTTGTGACAAGTAAAGAATTTACAAGGTCCTACCACAAATAAGCTACGTATTGATTATCAACCATTTGTGACATGCCATAACGAGCAAAAATTTAAAAAAAAAAACTAATAGGTAGGTTTAAAATTAATAAATACAAATGTATTGTGACAGTGAATTAGATAATTATGCTTTCTATTTGCGAAATTTCTTAACCTTAACACAGAATAAAGAAAAGAGTCAATTTTTAAGAAATTTGCGGGATTTCCCGGGATAAATCAAATTTCCCGGGATATTTTCCGGGTTAAAAAAACAACCGGGATCCCGGACGTCCGTTTAAGAAACACTACATATTATGTATGTTTGCCTATGTGTCCTTTCTAAATCTCGAGATAATAGTTAGTTACCTAAACGGCAATACTAGTGTAGGAAAGACTGGGGTTAAGAGGCCCAGATTAACTATACGTGAACTTCCGATTTAGGATGGAAGTAACGTTATTCCGAATCACACTTTTTTCCCAACGAAGTTAGATACATGACTGGCACAACTCTATTGCTAACAGGAAAAGTATGATGTACAGAAATAAAACAACCACTAAAAAGTTGAAAAGATTGTGACCAAAAATTGCAGGTTGCATAACTCACAATAAATAATCGCTCGTTTGAATTAGTTTATTGCGTTACTGCAACACGACACGTGAGCGATGTGCCGGAGGAATGAATCCCCGAAAACATTTATGAAAAGTTGAATCTATTTAGGTGAAAAAACCTGGAAACTTCAAGTCGTCGGCCCGTTGGCCATGCCTGCACCCACAATTAATTACCTACAAGTGTTTGTTGGTTTTATGCTGAAAACACTTATTAGAATTAGGAAAATATTATTCAGAAATGAAAAAAACCCGAGTCGTTAAAAGTGGAAAATTAAATACTAATAGACTTTTCACAGGATAATATTTTCGATCGCACACAGGCAAATGCTATCTGTTACCTGTCTGAGTGCTAATGTACTGAGTAAATGCTATTTCTCATTGTATCGTTGTCACAGTAATTACATGAATGTAATATATATATATATATTTGAAATTATATTTTTTCGGTAAGAATTATATTTAGTTTGTTATTTTGTTGAAATTTACGTTAATAGAGGATGTTACGTGTAAATCAGCAAATCAAATGAAGTAGAAATTAATTGATTTACAGAAATCCAATGGATATTTTGAAATATAATGAACGACATTATCTAAATTAAAAGTATTTGAACAAAAGTGTCGACATTCGTAGCAATTGGTCGAACGGTCTAGTAGTGTAATGCAAACAAACATCCAAACAAACATTCTCATTTATAAGGACGCATTTATGTTATCGTAAATTTAATACGTAAAGTATAATTTATAAGTCATAAAATTTTTAACAAAAACATTAAAAAGTGAATCTGGAAAGAATCCAGGCAGGTCGATAACCTCGGATATTTCGTGTCCCGTCATCATTCAGTTTTTCTATTGTTTGCCTGGCTGAACTCATGTTAAGATTTAAAGAGTTTGTCAACATATAAAAAGGAAAAATATTGTAATGCTGGCAGAAACTATAAATATACCGAAGTAAACGTTAATCAAATTATTAATACATTTATTATCGAAAAGTTATAATTAGTTTTAGTAAAATATGTTTATTTATAATGAATTTCGAAATAATTACTTGCTATAAACAAGTAATTGTTTGAATGTAATCTTTTAACAAAAATATACATACAGTAGATACAGATATATCCTTATGCAGACCTTCCTTTCCAGATGCACATCTTTTGCTTCAAATCTGCGTTTTCTATCACATTTCCTCACATTTTCATTGCATCGACTCCTTAGTTCTTTTTAGATACTCATCCACTTGTTCCAATTCCAGACTTTCTTGACCGTCACCTACCGCGCATTTTATTCACCTTTTCTCCCTTCGAAAATGAATCTCAATGTAGTTGAACCACGATAAAATCTTCTTACTCAACTTTCAAATCTTATTTCTAGAAACCACACATCTTTCTGGTATCGCGATAGAATTGTAGCGAAGTAGTGCAATTTTGTAATTAAAAACTTTTAATTACAAATAATATATATGAATTATCTTTCACTCTATTTACCTCGAGCGCTGAAATATGTTTAAATGTGTATGTAAAAAATTGATAATTGGAACAGTTGTGTTGTAAGAATTTAAGACAGAAAGAGTATGTGTTCTCTGACCAGAAGAAAACAGTTACTGGCCATACTAGAGGGCAATCCTTGCAGCTTCTAGGCACGAAAAACTATCGTTATAAATATAACTTACGAACAGGAGATTCCTACGTTCGCTCGACGTCGATTGCATTGTTTTTGTGTTTTGTTAAGTTATAGATCTCAATTTGCTTACGGCGCACGCAGTGCATTATTTTGTCCCTAAATCCTTCAACGTGCGCTTAATAGCCACAGGGAGCATGGACGTTTGTACTTGCATCCAACTGTCTTTCGAAAATAAAGTCACGTACATTGAATTTTTATTAAATTTGTGGATTCCAGAATGGAATTACTGAAAAATNATCAGAATACGGTCTAAAAATTCACATGAGAAAACACACAGGAGAACGCCCGTTTACGTGTGAGATTTGCTCGAAAAGATTTGCAGATAAATCAAATTTAAAAACTCACAAGCTGCGAAAACATTCAACAGAAAAATGTACATCTCAGGTAAAAACAATATATGAATTAAGTAGTAATTATACTTCGAATATTGTGTTAAAGAAAATTATATCTTTATCTGTTATACTTATATCAAAAAAGCATAAACGTGCAATTAACAAGTTAAACGATTATGCTTTATTTTGCTCATAAATCAGATAATTATAAATATTCGGTCCAAATACAGTCTATTTTAACTCATAAAAATCAGTGTAGCGCATCACTGGTAAATGTATTGTCTGATGCGCTATTTTGCATAACTGCGATACCGTAATTACCGGCCATCTTTTCGTAATCACCATTATAAAACAATGTATGTAATGATCTAGTGGGATTGATTATCATCTTAAAATTCCGATCTACATTTTCAGTTCAATTTAAAATTTAAGAGAAAAACACTAAATAGAACTGTCTAGTTAATCGTGTTTATCAATTGTGTAGATATTTCGAAGAGAAGATACGTCACAGCGTATTCAAACCTCTGAACAGAATATTTCACAATCTGATATTCACCTTCCTGATAAAATTTCGTCAACAGAAGTAACGCACGAGGAACATACCAAAGACAATGACAGAGAAAAAACTTCTCATTCTTCTGAAACATTATACCAATGTGATCAGTGTTCCTTTAGTACAAACTGGAAGAAAAAGTGGTTACAACATAAGCACAGTCAAACTCATGACGCTTCATCCACTTCAATGGTAATTTATGAAATATTAGAACTCTTACTGAATAAGGAAATAGTAATCGATTAATTATAAACCATGTAATCATTACGTAATAAAATAATAATTACACGATTTTATATTGAGTAATGAGCATGAGAAAAGATGTA